GAGAGAGAGAGAGAGAGAGAGAGTGTGTAGGATATTACTATATTGTAAACTTTACCGTAGGATGCTATCATCATGGGCAGTAGTTGGCACAGGAGCATCAGAAGGACTGACAGGCAGGTCTACATCTGGCTGTCCGGGCTGAGCATAGACTGGCTTGGGTTCTAAATACAAATGTGCAGAGATTCATGTTATTATGGCAGACAGATGATGAACACGTAACACTGACTGTACATCATCATAAACAAAGGAATACCCTCACACAGACAGAAAATGAGTGAGAATAAGAACAAAAACAACAACAGTGTGCATATACGTATAAGCAAAATATTATCACAACATTCTTGTATGCACACACGCACACTCAAGGCACACAGTGTCCTGAGCTAGGAAGTCAAAGAGAGAGGCAGCAGACTGCTGGAGGCTGGGGAGGAACGTCAGGCTCGATCAGCTCATATGGTTTATTTTCACTTGGCTCCAGGCTGACTCAGCCAGGCTCGGCAGGCGTCTGGATCTAACTTTTTAAAAGCGCAACAACCAAAAAAGGGCAAAAATAACTGTTTCGAATAAGAGTTCATTAATTCATGTAAATTTTCTGCTGCAAACGACAGACAGGGCCATTACACACCGTTTCTCAAGATTCACACTGATTTACAAATGACTATTCTTAGACATACAAACCAACATGTAATTTTCTGGCTGACTGATTTACATCTGACCTGGGAGGGGTGGGAGCTGTTTCTCCTCTCTGCCTCCTGACTCCTTCGGTTTGGGCAGAGGTACCTCCTCCGCTAGCTTCGCTGGTGTTGAAGCCGGCTTTGAGGCCCGTTCATCGTCACGACTTCTGTGACTAAAGATGCAAAAAGATGTTTTTGTATAACCTCTCTTTAGAACATGAGGCACGAGATCATGAATAATGCATTCTGCAGATGTAGTGCTGCAAGGCAACATGAAACTGTCTCTTAAACAGAACATGCATTTGCTAAGAATAGCTTCTTTCTACGCCTGCATCTTAGTGTTGAAGGTCATCACTTTGTCTTTCCAGTCTTTCGTGCTCTATTTTTAGAGCAGCTTATCCAAGGTGTCAGAGTGGGTTCTGTCCTCCAGGTGAATTTCACTGTGAGGCTCTGGCTTTAGACCAGCTTACTTTGACTTCCTTTAAAAAGAAAAATTGCGTAAACTACTGTATAAACTAATATACAGTGACATGATGTCCAAATTTCCATGCATTTTGACAAACAGAAACTTCAGATGCTGATTGTGATTTCTTAGCAAGTGATAGGAACAGGAGGGATAAAGACAGGCTTCCCAGTGGCATAGATCTGTGGCTCTCCTGGTCACATGGCTAACTTTTTGGGAAGAGAGCTGCTTTGTTCACAGACTGTGTGACAAAGTAACTACAAAGGATCCTGCTTGAACTGGCTGGACAGGAACAAACTTCTTTTCATCCCAGGCTGCACTTAACTGCCAACTTCACGAGCTGAGAGAAAGGGTTCCAGATCACTGATCAGGTTCAAACAAACAAATCAAATAACATCCTGTCACAAGAACTCCTTCCTGTTAACTAAAATACACAAGGTAGTGTGCCCGTGCCACTGTTTAGAACATTATAGAGATTTTCGCTTTTTGTATATTAAAAATGACAAGAAATGATGAGCCTAATAGGAAAAAATAGAGAGCGACTTAAAACAGGCAGCTGGAGATGGCCTTTTGTTACTGTGTGTCACGATTTCCTTTGTGGTGAACATGCAGTTTTGTCCACCAAAACATTGAAAAGAAGAAGATCCAGTGACACATTCAAATGATTCTCTCATCTTGAGAAGAAATGTCTCTAAATAATTGATGTCTGATATCAACAGCAACATCCATCAGTTAATAATTTGCTGTTACACAAAAGACCGATCTTCAACACACAAATTCATCACTTCTTTTAGACTGAGGGCTGTGAATATACAGTCGTTTGTCAAAGTCCCAACAACTCTACTGAACTACATTAAATCGAATAATTCGTTTATTAAATCCTCAATATTCAAATAGGGGAATGGCACCAAACGTATGGATTTCTCCAGCTGCTGAAGTATAACAGGAATAACCAAGTGCAGAAAAATCCCATTCAGCAACAGCTTTGAATTATGGCACCATGTTTAAGAGTTAAGAGCAGTGAGCTTCTACGCTCAGCAGAGCAGACTCTTGATCTGCTTTCAACCGTAATTTTGACCAAGACCGACTCTTTTGCGGCTTAACAGCTGACTTTTATTTTTTCTCAGGTCAGTGAGCAGAGTGAAAGGGAAACAACTGTGGTGCTCTATTGAGTTTAAATGAAGAATTAATGAGGTACTTTCAAACAACGTTAGAGTCAAAAGAAGTGGTGAATGGAGTAATGGTTGGTGCTAACACACACTACCTTTCATGAGAAAAACAGAAAAGAGGAAGGGAAAAAAGCTTGTTTTAAAGCATGGAAGCAAATATCATCAGTTGTGGTTACTTAAAAGATGTTAAAGTCTTACTAAGTGGTTGCATATAACTTATTTTAATTTCACTCATTAGCAAATTACTGTCTTAATTAATCAACAACAGTCTAAAATGGTAAATGGTAAATGGCCTGTATTTATATAGCGCTTTTACTAGTCCCTAAGGACCCCAAAGCGCTTTACATATCCAGTCATCCACCCATTCACACACTGGTGATGGCAAGCTACATTGTAGCCACAGCCACCCTGGGGCGCACTGACAGAGGCGAGGCTGCCGGACACTGGCGCCACCGGGCCCTCTGACCACCACCAGTAGGCAACGGGTGAAGTGTCTTGCCCAAGGACACAACGACAGAGACTGTCCAAGCCGGGGCTCGAACCGGCAACCTTCCGATTACAAGGCGAACTCCCAACTCTTGAGCCACGATCGCCCCAGTAGAGAACCAGTAGAGAAATTATGCTTAGGACAACCCAGTATCAAAGTGGTTTTGTACTCCACCCACATTTTGGTGATCAATGGTGCTGTTCAAGTTTAAATTGGTATTGTTCTAAACTTCATTCCATCAAACACAGAAAGTTGTGAAGAGAAGAAAACCAGAATGTATACATACAAAAATAACAATGTTTCTTGCAACTATATCCCACGATTTTATTCATTTCCTGAAAGCCGGGTTGATGTTCTTTACCTGCCATTGCTGATTTGTGGAGGTGAATGTCGGGAGTGGTCTGAGGGTTCAGATCGTCTATCTGGAGAGCGGGAGCGGCTGCTACGATGTCTGTCATGTGATCGATTGGAATGGTCGGATGCCAGAGAATGGATATCTGAAATGTCTGGTTAAACATAAAGATACTGTGAAACGGCCGCAGCCTCAAAGTTGCCCTGACAAGTCTGACTTTCTTCGTATCCACTCATTTGAGTTGAATTCACATCACTCTCACCATCTCTGTCAGAAGCGTTGGCTGAGGGAATACTGTCATCGAGGTCAGGGATGTTCAGCAGGGTCGCTCTCTCATCCCTCTGAACCACCATTTTTAGCTTGCCCTTTGACCTTTCTATCAGCTTCTTGGCATCAATCAAAGAGAGGTTCTCTGTCACGGTGCCATTAATCTGAAAGAATCAGCAAAACAAGCCATCAGAAATGACATGAAGTAAACATTCGTACACAGCCACAGAACTTGAATGAAAAGAGAAACATTACAAAAGGTGACATGTCTTGGGTTATTATCTTAATGGTATGAGACCACATTAATGTTCCTCCCCATAACCAGTCTATGCATTAAAGGAAAGGATCAAGATGTGCATGTTGCTAAATGTGACGGTGTCCTTCTACACAGCATGTTCCCAAAACATTAATACAATGAGACAAAGTAGTACATACTGCACATCCTTCTATCTGAATCAGGTTAGATTATATAAAGAACATGATCAAACATTTTCAGTTTATCTTCTATGTTTCCAGTGATTCTCTGCCTTTCCCCTCTCACCTTCAGTACAACATCCCCCTCCTGGATGTTGCCATCCCTGGCTGCCAGGCTCTCAGGGGAAATGTCCTTGACAAAGATGTGGCTGGCCAGGCGCAGGCCATATTCTGCTTACAAAGTGAACGACAGCAACAAAGACAACGTTAGCACAGAGTTCACGTGACAACACCACGCTGACTGCGATTCTGCTGACATCTGCTTCTCCCACTGGGATTAACAGTACTGATTAAAGAAGATTAATTGCTCTTTTACTTAGATTTACTTGAGTTTACTTGGATTTTGCTGTGGCTGGCAAGTTTTGTTTGCTCTGGCAGTTAACCAATGCTGAATTGGAGGCTTTATTCTCTTCTAAAAGAGAATATGGTTGTCTGTTAATAGTCATGTAAAGCAAATGGCAGGAGATTCCCTGCTTCACTATCCACTGTTCTGACTCCCTTTTTATCCCCGACTTTGTGAGCCTCACCTTCATTTTTGCGGGATTTCACGAGAGTGACCTTGGCGGGCCGTGGGGGCAGGTTGTGCGAGCGGCGGTCTGAGCGTGGGGAGAGACTTCTTTCCCGTGAGCCGCTGCGTTCACGTTCCCTGTCCCTGCGACCGCCACTCCGCCCACTGCGCCTGCCCATAGTGCCGCCCACACCGCTGTACGCGCCACTGCGTCCACTTCTCGTTTCATATATCTCTTCGTCGTAGCTATCCTCCTCCTCGTCATGCTCTGACATAGTCTCCCTCTCTCCCAGGCGGCCCATGGGGACGTGCACCTTCCTCTTGCGCCTGATTGTCTAAACAAAGGGAATAAGACATGAAATGAGCTTGACAACCAACATGAGCCAGGCACGCCCCTTATCATGCACATTTCTTCTGCTAGTGAACTACGAAAACATATGAGAGAGCCCAAATAACATTATTAGCAATATGCATATCTCTGCTACAAACACTTTTTAAGTCTGACTACAAAATTAGCTTTCCAAGAAGACTTCATAATGGGATGTGACACTCACAATTTTGGCGAGCTTCCCACTTTTACGAAGCTGCTGAACAGCATACGCGTGCTCCACATTATCCATGGAGACAGCGTTGACCATAACGACTCTGTCATTTTCCCTAAAGAAATGAGATACCAAGAACAGACAGACAGTGGAGTCTTTATGAAGCAGGCAGTGTAATTTAATACTAAAAAATGAGCTGCATGACTGGGTTCCCGATAATACAACTAAATCTTACTGCAGTAGGCCTTCTGCGGGGCCTCCTTTCAGCACATCTGAGATGACAATGGAGGTCTCACCACTCTGAAAATGAGGGTTATCCCGTCCACCTGAAATGGCTATCCCAAAGCCAAACCCTGGTGCCTGCACACAGAAATAAAAACAAAACACAAAAAAGATAAGGATGTGTGGATGGACCAAGAAACTAACTGATGAGTAGAGACAGATGTATTTAAATGACCACCTCCTGGTACGAATCCAACAAAATAATTGTTTGTAAAACCACCTCTACAGAATACAGTAGTCGAACACTTTGAAGCGATGCAGTTTGCGTGCAAACAATGTGCACAAAGATGCCAGATCAGCATTTGTGCAATTTATGCTCCACAGCCAAAAACATGGAATCGTGTAGAAGAAAAGCTTTGTGTCTGTTCCACGTGCAATTAATTACACAGTGAGCTAACTCCCTACATGCTGTGATCCTGAAAATAGCAGGGAAATAAAATGCTGAGATGGGAGATAGAGGGAAAATAACGTAAACCAGGTAGGGCAGAGAGCGTTTAGGATAGGGCATAATTTCAACATAGACAATTATAGAGAGTAAAGGAAGGATAACAGATACCCACCCTGTGTAGTGTTACTGTGTGCTGTTCCCAAATGACTGTCTCCTCCATTGCTGCACTCTGAAAGGCAAAGAAATTGCGCAGTGCTTAACACATAAGCTCCAGAGTTCAGACAAGAAGAGTTAAAATAATTCATTATTCCAACTGATAAAAAGGTGGAAGAGTGGCTCCCAAAATACATCTGACAGTGTCTCCTTCAGTGTTTAACCTTTAACAAAGTCTGCATAAAAGGTCCAATGTGCTGTTTTTTAATGAACAGAGTAGGCGTTATCTGTCCAAGCTAAATGTCTGCATAATGTGTAGAGTAGCATTTACCACTTTTGCAGCAAAAGCTACTTATACTGAGATATTGAAAAAAAATAGAGGGTAAGGGTTTGGACTACTGCTGCTTTATGAACATCAGCCACTTGGGCAATCTAGGCTACATTTCATTATTCATATTGTATTATTCATACTGCAAATAAAGGATGTAAAGATTATAAACAGCAAATCGACTGTGAAAGCACACTGAGAGACTTTAGTAAAAAATAATTAAAAAGATGAACAGAATATTTGAATACACAATAATAGCACTGATTATTTTTTGTCCTCTACCAAGGTTCCTAGTGGAAGGGGAAGTGTTTCACCACTAAAAATTAAGACAGGGTACACATCAGGACGCTTGTTTGTTTCACACTGTTGCTGATTCACAGTGATACAGATGACACAACAGAGCACAGCAAATAGCCCAGGCACACACCATAAACATGTTGGTTTTTAGACTAGACAGTCTTCTTTGTAGTGGGTCCACAGTATGAGGTCCCAAGTTTACAGTGAACTGAGTACAATAGCACAACAGAAAAAGATCCTCCTTCATTAAATAGGGCCACACTGGCAGTAAGTCTCTAAAATTGAAGGACAACCTCAGCCCCATTAACAATCACAGAGGATAAGCTTAAGGTCACCTCAGTCAGCTGCTGGGTTAACGCCATCCTCTGCGACCTACAGCCCGCTTCTTATCTCTGGCTCTGTATCATTTTACCTCCACTGCAATCTCACAACACATTAGACATTCAAGGACTGCATATAAAATACCACGAGGTCATTCCCATTGGGGCAAATTACAACCACCATCACAGCACTTAATGCAATAACCCCATCTGTCATGCAAAATGATCCTAGCCTTGTGATCTTAATAGGTGAGACTGCCACACATATCCCCTTCTGCTTTGCTGGTTATTTCTTTGACACCTCCTTACAGTATTAACCACCTATGCAGAAATCTCATGTTGCGGTACATTAAAATGTGATGAAAAATGAGCAAAGGGAGATTACTCTTCACGCTGAAAAGGAGCATCGGTTCCAGTGCTTAGACCTGCCACTGAGACTGCTGTCGACGTGTTGGCAGCTTCAAACGCAAAACATCTAGCAAGAGTCAGTCCAGTTTCACACTGAAAGCCATTTTGCAGCACATCAGTATGACAACTTGATAATGGAAGTGCTATTAAGCCACAAAGAGCGATAAACAGCTAAAAATCTTGGATGGTCTGCAGGCCAAATACTGAACTACAGACCACTATGAAATCTCATATAGGGAATAGGGATATTCAGTTAATCATTTTTAATCAGTAAAGCTACCTGTCCTTAATGGCATCCATCAATTATGAAAACAAGATAACCCATCCCATTACTTTTACCCCCAAATTCATCCCCCGTCAAAGTGTGGCAACAAAAATATAAGGTACTAAGGGATTGTGAGCCCAAGGATGCACAATTTAATCAACCTTACACAGTAGTTAAGATTCAGGGACACCCTTTTTTAAACTATCAAAATGTACTTTGCAATATTGCACAGTTTTAAGTCATCACCAAAATGTGTGTGATGAGAAACACTAAAAACACACCCAGAGATTCTGAAGTTGAAAATAACAACAGCCATGCTGCTGCAGAAGCAAATGTCTGAACAAAAAAAGTAACTCAGATGTGAAGAAAACAATGTCCAACTTTTTTTTGTACAGCAGAAATCATATTCAGAGGCAGCAGCTTAGCTGACCAACTGCTGCTGTGCCGTTTATTGTTTTAGCACCCTGGCCTCCTTCAACACATCATCCTTATGTCTGCTGCGACCTGTCGGCCAAATGCCAAAGATTAGCTGGCGTCTGGGAATACAGGCAGCTAAATAAAATGCCACAAGTGGCCCCAGACGTGCTCAGCTTGGCAGCAACAGTCACAAACTCCTCAAGCAGCTTATAGTGGGGCTCACACAAGGAGGGTGAACCAAAGTTTGAACAGGGGAACTCCCCCTGGCCTTTCACACTGAATTATCTGCTCTTGAGAAAGGGTGGGGTGGGGGGCATCTGAATATAAACAAGTCTGGTGAAAGCAGAGGAATGATCTCCCGCTAGAAAGTTTGCTCTTTCAGGGAGGAGGATTTATGCCCCAGACTTCTTGATCAGCACTGTGCAAATGCTGACGCCAAGAGCTCAAACATTTTGCCTAAATTTATAGAGACTTGCTTCTAACTGATAAATGGGGGGGGGGGTGTTTCCAGTTGATAGTCAGACTTTCAAAACTTCTTTATAAGCATTTATGCAGCATAACACAAACATGTACGCCCACAAACGTATAATGTTTTAGAGTGGGTAGCAAGAGATGTCAATTTAGTTGTCTGGAAAACATGTTTAGAGGATGCTTCTAAAGCTCCACTGAATACAAATAAATCACTGAAAAATTGCAATGGGGCAAAACAAAAGGACCGAATACCAAGGGAAAAAGACGAAAAACAATCTCTCTCTCTCTCTATCACATGCACACACCTTTCACTGTGAAGGGATATAATTTTGCTACCTCCTGCTCCTGCAGAGCTTGTTGCTCTGGTAACAGAGGGGGGACTGTGTGGCTTTCTAGTGGCCTTTCAGGACAGGTCTGAAGGTTCCTCTAAACTGTAGGAGGTAAATTTAAAAAAAAAAGGAAATAAAGACAGGGCCAAATCAATTCATAAAGTTTTGTGGCTCAAATGAGCACTACTATTTTTTTTTTTGCCATAAGATCTAAACAGTGAACTAGTGACTTTATATTTGTCAAAAACAAATATGTTCATTTCCTGTTCCAAAAATGTCCAAAACATTTCTTTTAAGTAAACACAAAGTAAGGCATGTTGTTTTCAGTGAAATGAGCATAGGTTGCTGTAAAGTTGCACCAACATCCCGTGACTGATGACTTTCAGTGCCATAATGTGTACACCCTTTACAGCCACAATTTGGTGCCAAGAGAGGCTTCATGCCTCAAGCTAAAGCCAGGCCTGGCAGCCGCTCCACAGTGAGACACACCATGTTGGTTGGGTCATGCTTGGGGGATTACAACTAGGCAACATGGGAGCCAGCACTACAACACAGATGGACTTTAATGCAGATGGAGAACGGAGAGGAAAGCTCTGCTCAAAGAGGACTGTGTCAAATCAATGCACAAATGGTAAAACAACGCAATCATCAATGAGCCCACTGGGCTTTTTATTCCTCTGCAGAACAAACTATTATAGCATGTCCATAAAATACTGCTCTGCCAGCAGTCTTTCAAGCTTTTAATTTCCACTTGTAAATCAATTACAGAATGCTACTAACAATTATTGTCATTACTGATCATAGCTCATCTTCCTGATTACTCCTTCAGCTGCTCTATAAACCAAAAACCGTGACCAACCTAGTTTCCAAACAAACAGATGACGTTCAGATTTAAGAAGCTAAATCTAGCTTTCTTGCTCAAAAGATATTTTTAAAAAGGCACATGTGTATTTTGCAAGTTGAGGGGCAAATGGCTTCTTGTTACAGGTACTATCTGTATGCCAGTGGCAATAAAACTGAGCAATAACAAACTTACATATACTTGTGTGCCCTGGAGGTCCTCTCTGAAGTCAGCGAAACAGTAAATTTTGTCTACTTGGCAAATACTAGCAGACAGTTTGGCAGGGAGCTGTGACAATTCTTGTCACTTTCAAATAAAGGGCCTGCAACTAATCAAATGTGCAGCTACAAACCTGACTTGCAATGATTATGAAAACAATATAATTAACATAAAAATAAAAATAGTGCTCTAGTTTTGTTTTGCGTCACTGAATCGAGCAGACCCCTCTCCTTTTACAGCGGTGACCTTCAACCCTCCCCTAAAAGCAAAAGCCTCCCTCCCTGCCAGGCTGTAGCAGGTTTGGTTAAGCTTGAGCCAAGATAACAAAGAGAGAGCCTGAAGGAAAACTAAAGAGGTAACCCAAATGGATACACTTTTTGTTTTAAAGAGTTTAGCAAAACACACGGTAAGCCTAACTATGTTCTCTAAATTGTTTCAAACAATCAGGATGATAATATTTATTTTACCATAATCAAACAGCCCTGCTTAAAAAAACGCAACTCTCTGCGTAAAAAAAGCAAATGATATTTTGTTATAACTGAGGCAACATTGTGCGATTTTGTGCTGAAGTATGGTTTAGGGGTGAGGCAGAGACTTATTCAATTCTGACCGCTCTGGGACCAGAGTAGCTAAAAATAGCTCTCATTAATTCTACTGTTGTGGTGCTGCAACAGAGTGATTTAGGGGGGGAACCTTGCAGCATGAACACTGAGGAACATTTAATAGGTTCTTGTTGTAGTAAATGCCACAAATCGACCAAAACAAATGATAAAATACTGCAAAGGAAAATACATCCACTCTCTCTTTGTACTGCCTATTTATTGTATTTCTTTGTAAGGTCTGAGGGGGGGAAAAAAAGAGAGAGACTTTGATCGTTCTCACAAATCTGTTTCAGTGCCAGTGTGATGAAAATGTGACTATTCATATTTCAAGAGTAGTAATGAGTCGAAACAAATAAAATATGATAATTAAAGGTTTACAGGTGGCTGAAAGCAATAATTCACAATTATTTTTGTTCACATGCATCAGCACATGATTAGCAGCAATCATGTGCAGCAATAAAGCCAAATGAAGCCAAGTCTGCTGCAAGCTTAAATATTCAATCCTAGCAATAAACATACTGCTGAGTTAAAACAATTCTTTCCCTTTTGCTTCTCTCCAAGACAGTTTTCAAATTACAC